TCCCACTCGGATCTGGCGCCAGGCAATAAAATGTCCGATGGCGGCTGCTGGCGCTCAGTGACGCTCGAGCTATACGCCGTATAGGACGTGCCTGTGGCCACACGGTTCGTCGTCGTATACCCTCGAGTCTGCCTATAAGCGTATCCATGTGTGTACTATATACATATACACACACTCGTCTACCTCAACGCGTGTAGGCGTGCGTTCTGTCTGTGCGTGTGTGTGTGTGTAAGTGGATGCTTTTGAGCGTCAATAAAACAAACAAGTTTGGCAAAAACCACAAAAGTTTCCACCCAGTACGCAATACAATAACAACAATTAACGTTGCATTTGTGGACATTGTGAAGGTAAATTTTCTGATATACATATACTCTACAAACACACACATTGCATTGGTGTGGGGTTTCATGCGTTATTTACGCACTCACTTTTAGGCAAATGCCGCAGACAATGAAAACAGCGACAAAAGCCACGCACACACACGCACACACACATTCACACACCACAAACCACACGACAAAAGCGACCAACACGAAAAACATGGCCAAATTCGCCGAAATTCGGTCAATATTTGCCTTCTGTGTGTGCGTGTGTGTGTTTGTGAGTGTGCCGAAAGACCGCTGAAAAATAAGGGAAATTTTCAAGTCTTGCTTATTGACAGTGAGAACGGGTGGACCCAATTTGGTGTCAGCATAAAATGCGACATACGCGATGCGCTTTAAGCTTTTCGAACGGAGAAGCAGAAATTAAAAAGAAAAGTGAGAAAAGAAGAAAAACAGCTGTCGAGAAATAAATACTCTTGATTGTATGCTAAAGTATTTTGATTGCTGTGTTTTCTTCGAAATATACATTTTAAACACGTTTGTCTAGAGGAAATTCCTAAAGACTGTGCTCAAAAACAAATGGTTTTCATAGAAGAATTCGGCTTTCGATCGATAGCTACTTGACAATCAAATACTGAAGATTTCGTCAGCTATAAAAATATTATTTGCAACATATCTATTAATTTAGAGCTAGAAGAAGAGACTGACAGAATCAGATCCGCATTCTGATTAAAAAAGTGTGTACTCAAAGATTCGGCTCGTCATTCTGCTTAGAAATCTCCAATTATAATCGACAAATAATAAACCAAAAATTAATTGTGCTTACTTCACTAATATATCTTATTTGCTACAATGACTCCATTTTCAATCTAATCACTCGGGATCTCTCTTCTCTGCTGCGTCCACTTGTAAGTGTAATAATGAAAAGTTTTTGAAATAGTCTATAATTATTATCTCATTATTATTGAAAGTATATTTTCTTTGAAATGTATCCTGGTAGCACCCTTTGCCTTAGCATTAAGTATTACATTGCGTTTCCCAAATATTGTTCACATTCTAATTACTTTATTGTGAATCAGGGCCGCAATTTACTCTAATTATATGATTTGCCGCTTGTCGAAAAAATAGTGTCTGATGGTAATCGGCGGGCATGTAATTGACACCTGGGTACACGACAGTTGACAAGCGGGAAACAAGTTATGTCAAAAGAGCAATAAGTGTTGACACAGCCGAAGACAGGTCAATTTTTCGTATACCCTTTAATAAATGCATATGAATATAAGTATATCTGCTTGCATATTAAATATGTACGAAGATGCATCTCAGCATTACATAGCCATGTTAAAGAGCAATAAGGAGCATGTGGAGCCAAGCAATGCCGCACTACATTATGCGTGTGCCGCCGGAGTGAAGCCACAGGCAAAATATAACCTGCATTTTATTACAATTATTGTTACGCATACGCCATGTGGAACAGCAGCAGCGACAGCGGCAGCAGCAGCAGCAGAGCGTCGCCCGTTGCGCGTAATAAATCGCATGACAATAATTCAACCGAGCGGCGGCAGCAGCAAAAAACCAAAGAAATGAAAACGCCATCAAGGGGCTGAGAGGCAGAGACGAGAACTTAAAAAGGCAGGGCTATTAAGGCAAAGGACTTAAAGTATTTCCCAAGTGGCAAGCTGTGCGCACTGACGCCCAAGCCACGCCCACAGCCTACAGATAGCCAACCGAACATGGTAACAAAGGGCTCATACATCCGTGCCGGGTTCCGTTTCCCGGTTCCTGCCCCCAAGTAACAAAACGTAGACACAGTTTGTAGGCTGCACAGTGTAAAGCCACGCACCTTCCTGTATCTGACCCGACGGCTGCTGCTGCTGCTGCTGCTGCTGCCCCCTTCTACTGTGTGTTTGTGTGTAAGTGTCCCCACGCACTTGGTGACTCGACATGCTCTTAATGCCAAACAAAAACATAAGCTCAAGGACATGAGTGCGAGAGCGAATGTGCCCCGTGCCCCGTGCACCGAGTACCGAGCAGCGGGCGCTTTGTGCTGTCTTCCAGCTGCTGCTCAAAGTGTGCCTCAATGTCATTATGTGTAAATTTTTAATGTTGCCAACCCAAACACGATGCAAGCAACAGCAACAGCAAGAGCAACAACAACAACAATAACAAGACAATTCTGAAAGTAGGTTATCAAATTGTGTAAGTACAGGGTTAGGTCTCGGGGGCCTGAGACCGCGTTGTTGCACAGAAAACCTCGCACACAGCTGCCGCAAGAAAAAAGAAACTTTTACTTATCACAAAAAAGCCCTTCTCTTTCACAGACACACACACACACATGCGCAAACATTTTAATGGCAAAATCATTTACTGACCCAAGATTATGCGGCGTTATGAGCCTCCCCTCATGCGCTGTGGGGTAAATATTTTGCATGTTTTTCCATCAGCACTTGCTGCCAATTGGGTCAAGCATTTCAAGCATTTTCATTTCGCGCCCATAAAAATATTCAGTATGCAGCACTTTTTGTTTTTCGTTTTTGCTGTTATTTTGTTAGGCTTCGCAAAGCTGCCTACGAGCTGCAGCTGTAGCTGGAGCAGAACCGGAACCGGAAACCGCTTTCCAAACTTGCCGTGCCAACACAATAACAACAACAAACGAGCTGAAGCCACATCTATTTAGTTTTTAATGAAAAACACAAACTCCACCCTGTACACACGCGTTTTAGTTGGTGGCCCCAACCGCTGCCAGTTGCCACTAATTAATTGCAAACTAAATGAGTTGCTCAACGCAAACTTTACCTTTAGTTCGGTTGAACAAATCTGCGGGCGGGTACTGCTGAAGTGCTCTGCAGGTATTGCAGCCAATGTGAATGAATCACAGATAATGCATGCCACAAAGCCATAATAAAAAGCCAAAAGTGCAGTATACTTGACCAGAAGTTACCCAGTAGTAGAGTCCAATTCCACTTAAGTACTTGATGAGAAGTTCACATTTCGAAAAACTCTGAAATATGTATGTACTGTAAAAAGCACATTCAGATTAATTCATGGAAACGTGGCGAGTTATCGATGGTTTAAATTATGGATTCGTTTCAATAGTCTGAAGATACAGACTAACGGACAGAGAAGACAGGAATGGTTGCATCCATTTGACTATTGTTGCATATATATAAAGCATATATATTTTTTATGCAGTCGGAAAGCTTTCTTCTGCCTGTAACATATTCATGTACACTCCCATTTTTAACTATTCATAATGTTTATTTAAATATCCTCTTTGACAATAGGTTAAAACATTCTATTAGAAGGCTTAGCATAATGGCACACGCATTAAACAAGGTGGCAACTCTTAAGAGCAGCAATATACATTTTTCAACACTAAACCATTGTGAATAGTCACTGTGAAAAGTGACTGTGCCTTCGCAAAGTTTTAATACAACAAAAAGTTAAGTTAGGCAAACAACTTCATTTGCCTTTCTCCAATGAATATACAAGCAACAAATATGTTAAATACAATTCATTAGCCCAGGCGCCTCAGCCTCAGCAAGTCCTCGGCAAGTTAACGTTGTGAAATATGCTGAAGCCTGCAATACAATTTGCATATCAATGATGTTCAGCCCTTGGGCCAACATAAAATCAGTGTGTTGTTAATGTTCTTCGTTTGGCTTTGACGTGTTTTGGACAGCTAATCGAAGTACTTAAACTTTTCGCTCGGTTGTTGTTTTAGATTGTTTCCGTGCGGTACGAAAAAGCGAGTCGTAGCAGCTATCCAAAGGGAAATTAATATTAAAACTGTGCACCGAGACACACAGCTCCATACATGGATGTAGGTGCTGGGGCTCCTATGCATAGTGAATCATGGCGAAACATATTTATGACTCACTGCGACGTTAGATTTATGGTGTTATTCACCAAATAAAATGCTGTTTGTGCTTTTCAGTTGTGATATGCAAAAGCTACTGTCAGTCAACAAATCGGTGAGCTTATTGGATGGCGCAACTCGAAAAGTTTCCATGCAGTTGGCACATGGTTTGGCGCTGTAATCGGAAATGAAGTGAATGAGTTTACTTAACTAATTAATTTCCAATTAAATTCTGTTGGCTGTCAAGTGTCATCATGACAGCGTCATTTCAATGGGAGGACACCGACAGCTCGAAAAAGCGAGAGGACCAACAAATGCTGCAGCTATTTGTAACACGGCGCATTTATTCACAAAATATCCGCATTTGTTTTTGGCACCAACTGAACAACTAGATCCCTAAGGCTGACAGGCAGTCAGTAGGGGCTTTAGATACATTGGCACATGTGTGCAGATTCAAATAGATCTGTTTATATTCCGCCCTATCCTATTACTGTAAAAGCTGAAGAAGTCCAACATATGCATCATTTTTCGTGTATGACTTTTTTATGCTGACTCTATTCAAAATAATACTACACTTTTTCTAAACATAGTTTTTCGATGTGGATTTATGTTTATAGCAAATATTCATGCTTTCTTATTAAACATCTTAAATGTATAAGAAAATTCCCCTGAGAAGAAAAGTTTGTGTTGGCAAAATATGTCCCCTTTTCCATTCAATTTTGATCACAAAAGTTGAGAGAAAATATATAACCATTTAAAGAGTTTTAGCTTTTCATTCTTATATATATTTTACAGTTGTGATTCCTTTAGATACTTTAATATTCTTGCCAAGCACAAATCTGTAATTCTATATTCTCATTCAATCTCACTCTTAAGACTACATTAACAAGTTTTGGATTGCCTGCCTTAATTATAATTATAGAATTCAGTGGACCGAATGGTATTCACATGCAGTTCTTTCTTGGAAAGAAATAACAGTATTTATAGACTAATGTTTTGCCAGGTGTAATGAATATAATTCAATTGCACCACACTGAAATAAATGCTTTGTCATGGGTTCAAATTGTATTATGCTTATGATCTTGACAGCACTGAGCACACATCCGACACTCCAGGGTCTAGTGTTTAATTGAATAACATGCGGAGGCCAGAGTTTAAATCTGTTTTCAAACAGGTCAAGTATTTAAGTTGAACTTGGCACATGCCAAAGACTAAGAAGAACGCTTCAAAGTTCCTGAGACAGTCAAGTTGTCGGTTACTTTTGCATACCAGCAGCTCAAAGGAGCTTTGCGAGCTGCTGGAATGCATATGAAATTGCACTTGAGTGCACATGATTTCGGTGCACCGGGCTCGATGGGAACACGCTGGAGCACTGTCTTTGACGCTGCACAAGAGCGGTTGCCAACCTCAATCCATAAAGAGGAATACTTGTGTTTAACCAAAAAGCCATAATCGCCACTGGATTCAACCACTGGGCGAGAGTGTAGCGAATTCCTGGCTAATTATGGCTTACTTGATGCATTCACGCAAACTTTTTGCAGAGAGAAAACTTTAGCCACAAAAAACTACAGCGAGAACCTTTTGAATCGAGCATATTTATAAGCAAATTGCCCTGACCCCCATTCACTGGAGTGGCATTTGGCTTTGTGGCTGCCAGGCAGCTGATTTTATGCGCTTTTCTACGAGGCATGCCAAAAACGGAATATGTCAGAGGTTGACAAGTGATTTAGTTGGAGCTAGTTTCATGTTGGAACTTTTGACGCATTGAAAAGTCCTTTAACTTTTGAGCTCATCATTGCCAGTTGATGGTTTTTACTGGACCCGGACAATACATAGAAATTATTAGTGGGAAATATGTTCAGAGCGAGACTGTTTGCCACAGACCTGAATATATTTCCACCTAAAATATTCCAATGCGTTTCCGTTTCTCGTCGTGCTGCAGTGCAATGCGTGTCAGATAGTTCCTATATCGCAACAGCTCGCTGCGCTTTTGCACCTGCTTATTATGGGCACGCAGTTGCCTCACGCGCCCCATCAGCTTCAGCTCGTATCTATGCAGATGTTTTTGCATGTCTTGCACCGAGTGATTCCGCAACGCCAACCAGCTGTTGTTCCGCTTAGCATGGTAGTCGGAGGTCAGCAATGCCACGTAGGCTAATCTGCTAGAGACTCGATCCACGCGCTGTTTAATGAACTGCTTCCTGCGCTCCTTGGCTCTTTGGTGTCTCTGCTCCGTGGTCTTGGCGTTAAACTTGCGTCGATAGGCCATAACAAACGCTGGATACTGCTCCTTTACCGCATCCTGGAGGTGTACATAAAAGGCTTCGTTGGGCTTCCTAATTACAGGCAAGGGCGGGCCGTGTAAGGGTATGTAAGGGTATTGAATCGCCCGATTTTCGTAGACTTCTAGATCATCGAACAGTTGGCTATAGTTCAGTTCCATATTTAATTTCGATCAAATTTTCCAAATAGTAACCAAATTTTTAACGGAAGACAACACGGTTACCGTGATCATAAATAAAATAATATAAGCATTAAAAATAATTCCAATAAAAATGAATATTATATATAAATAAATTTAAAAAAATAAAAAATCAAAATTAACAAAATAAAAAAAAAAAGATATAAAATAATTATTATTGATATATACGTGTATATTCTAATCAAGGTTAAATATTAAGTCTACAGTTGGGGCCTTAAAGATGTGGCAACTCCTGCAAGTACAGCAATATACGTTTCTCAGCACTGACACTGCGAACAGTCATTTTTCAAAATGATTTTTAAGCTATTTTATGCTGTAATATAAAGCCTGTTCTGTTAACATACTTCCCAGCAACATTTTCCATTATATTCAGAATGAAGAATTGAAATAGTGCAGAAAATAGAACGCTTCAATTATGAACCAGCTTGTGTATTATAAAACCCAACCCTATTCACAAACTGCAGATATAAATGTTCCTAGTTGAAATGAACTTGTTTGCATACATGTATGTACACATGCACAAGTATAGATATGTATGCCTTGGTAGGGGCATGTAACTGTATGCTCGGATTTAACCGAAAAGTTGTGTGTTATTATTATGATTAAGGTTCCTGTTTTTGCCACATGCAAACGAAGCTCACTTCTCCCACTCTGGCGCCTCCAGCTGTTCCACAGTTAAGGGAATGGACGCCCACTCTGCCAGCTCACCATCATAAAACACATTAGTCCCATTTGAGGCAGTGGGATTCCCCAGCTTGACTTCACTTGCAGCTGTGCTGCGTGTGTGGCTGTGGTCATGTTATTCTCATATCCCAGCCATATTTTTGTGGTTTCCAGTCAAGGTGCACCAAAGATAGAGCTCTTTCCGGTTGAACACCGCCCGCTGGACAGTCACCAGCATATGAGGACGCTACTAAGCCTGCTATTTGTGAACATTTTTTCTTACCTCAACAAAAAAGATTAACGTGAACTGGACACCAGTCATGGTCTGTTTTTTGTTCTACCTTTTGCTAAATCGGATTAAAATCTGAATTCAGAGCTCCACTCCACGCGAATATAAGCAGAGGCACTTACAGAAATTTAATTCGAAGTTGTATATATTTTTTTCATATATGGTGCTATTTTGTTTATATAAGAGGTTAAAAGCTATATAAGTTTATATATTTTAAGAAAATCCACCAACAATTGTTGTCGAACTGTTGAACGAAACTTTTTGTTATTCATTCGATCGAGTTGTGGCAAGTAGAAAGCCCTTATTGTAGGGGGCAAAGTAACATAAATGTTTTCCAGTCAAAAGTTTAAGTTAACGCATGAAAAATATTAATGAAAACATAACTTTTTGCCGATTTTGTAAAATACTCAAGCTGCGCTCATAAAATGGGTGCATGCAACTGATAGTTAAGGCTCCGAACATCGTGTGCGCATAAAACTGAAATTGCTTTACCGTAAATTATTTCTGGAAAGCACTTAACATAATATATATGTACTAAATCAACACTTCTGTATGCTCCCACCTAAACCTAACCCATTTGGCGGTACCCATTACCGTTTCTATTACAAGCGTTCTGCTTTTACATTTACTATTTTCCGGACGCAGTACAGTAAAACCGACTCCTGACACGCAACTGGATGCATAGAAGAGTGGAAACAACTCAAAACCGATGTTATGAGCAGTGGATTACATCCATACCCACACATATAAGGTCCGACTGCGATAAAGTGTTTACAGCCAGCCGTAAAAAGGGTACGAAAAGAGTTTTAAATCAAAATCGACTAAGGTATATACTCTCAAATAGTACAAAGGATGTTGAAGGAACCTCCCGGCAATACAAGAGATAGTTGTGTACGGAAAGTACTGCATTGGCTTCGATGCTTTAAAGTGAAAAGTATCGATATATCGATGCTTTGTACGTTTCGCTTTTGGGGAGCTTTGGAGATCTCTTTTTGTCGCATCGTGGTTTTGTAGGTTAAACTCCAAAAATTCTTTAGTTTATTGAAAGAAAGTATAAATAACTTAAAATGCCTTCCACTGTATATGTATTTCTGGTAGATATATAAAGAGTTTTAAGAGCCCGCAACTTATGGAAAGAAATGGCTCAATAAAGCTTCTTCATTTATTTACAGATGCATTCGCAGTCGACGGCTACTGAAAACGAAAATCATCAAACGAAAAGTTGAGCAATTAAAAGGATTAAAAGCAAGGACTCGAACTGGGACAGAGGAAAACATCATCATCATCATCGGATTCATCGGAATCAGCGGCCAACATCTGCGGCATATCGGGTGTGTGTCTCTCTCTCTGTCTTCCCCACTCTGTGTACGTATTTCCTCGGGTCTGTTTGTAATGGTAGTCAGAATGTTAGAGCGGGCTGCGCATGGTGCAAATTGTGGCAGTTGAAATACTTGCGGTCGGGCGCAGCACACTTGTACATTCGTATTCAATATCTGGGCAACTAGCAACTAGCATAGAGCGACTGCGACTGGGACAGGCACTGGCTCTGGCTCTCGGGCACTGGGACTGGGAGCGCTTCAGTTGTGTGTGAGGTATGCAAATAAACGGTCTGGCTGCCGGACCAACCATGGCCGCATCAGAGCCACCAGAGCCGCCGCCACGCAATCCGGATCGCATAAATGCCTCGCTGCACAAGCTCGGCGAATCCGTAAGTACACCAAGTACAACACAACCAATCCAAGTGCCAACCCTGCATGCCCCAGCCCCGCTACAACAACAACAACAACCACAAAAAAATATCCCCCCATTCACTTGATGTTTAACCTAATTGGGCCTCATTCATTTGCTTGTTAGCGCCGCTGGTGGTAGGCGGGGGATTGGGGGTGGGGGCTGGGTTAGGGTTAGGGGTCAACATACAATTTGCATGCCACTCGCCATTCAGCGCTGTTCCACTTTCACATGCTTATACTTTATGCTTGCAAAAGTTTTGGCACATTTCCACTTTCCACAAATTTTTCAATTTACCCCCCGCTCACACATTTTCATTGACTAATTGACTTCGGACTCCGACAGAGCTCACGTGTACGACATCAGCCTCTATCCGCCTCTCTCTCACTTTCTGTCTCTCTCTATGTCTCTCTATTTTTGAACATCTCTACTATCCTACTTATGCATAGACGCTGTCTAATTGAAGTGCTTGCATTCATTAAACGCTTGTCCAACATTGCAGAAAATTGTCAAGTCGCTGGACTCGAGTGTGGGCGCGCTCAAAGAGAAGTCCGTCAACAACAACAAGCCCGTTAAGCCGGTGCTTTCTCTGGACAACAGCAGCAGCAGCAGCCAGGCGGCTGGTGGTGGTATCACCTCCTCGACTTCATCGGCAGGCGCAGCGCCATCCACTTTAAAGCAGCCCAGCCTACTGGCAGGCAAACGGGAACTGACACCCTCCGCCTCCGATACCAGCAGCAGCTCCCCGGCCAGCTCGAATGGGAGCAATCAGACGCTCACGCCACCCATGACCATCGACAACCAGAATCGCCTGGCCGCCAAGGGCGACACATTGGGACAAGCACAAGCTGCGGTGATTGGGATTGGGATTGGTCTACCACAGTCGCAATTAGTGAATGGTAGCAGCGCCAACTCCGGCACCACAATATCCACGGCAGCCATGATCCATGCGAATAACTCAAATTTGATTGCCGCCGGTCACTTGGCCCAGGTCAACGCCAGCGGCAGCCAGCTCAGCGCCGGTAAGTGCCAGCCCGCCCCGCTCCCCAAATGCATTTCTATAACATTCCAGCTGAGTGGGTATGTGAGTGGGCGCAATTAGCTCAGCTGCAGCTGAATGGGGCTTAAAGCACTTACATGTGCACACATGCGTATATATGTAAATATTGCAATTGTATATATATATATGTGCGACACAGCACGGGAACGACCATAAACCATAGTCACAAATTGTCCTCTTTTGTTACACTATCTGCCACACAAAAAACAATTTAAATTCTGCATATATGTACCTTAATTTGATGTCCTGTATCCTTGCAATTCGGTAAAGAGGGTAGGTTGTTTTTTGTGCAAATGTTACAGGTGTAGCAGGATTCATTACCAAGCCCATTAATTAAATATAATTTTGATCAGGACAAGATCTGAACATTGTTAATATTGTTAATATATAATACCAAACTTTCCACGAATTTATCATTTTTCTTCATCGATGTTTAATCCCATTTTTTTAAACAACGGTCGAAAATTATCATAGCTAGATTAACCAGTATAGATTCTCGTATAGCATATACAAACTAAAACTTAACTTTTTGGATACCTCTTCTATTCACCCCAATAGAGCCTTACGCTTTGGTATATGGACAATTTAATGTGCCCAAAATCGGACAAAGTATAGGATAAGGGCGAGAGAGGTAAAAAAGAGTTACAATGTTTGCCAGCTTAACTTTGGGTTCAGGGTACCTCTTAGTCTGGCACTCCCGACTAGTGCACTCTTGCTTGTTTCTAGTCCACTCCCACATGTTAATTACACCATTCACTTTGGTTATTCTTACCGAAAAGTAACTTTGTTTACGTTGAGCACATATCGAAAACAGGGACCATAATAAATGGGTTTCCATTACAGGAATAGCATTTAGGCATATTTCCTGCATGCCTTGTATCTGTGCTATTGCTTTTCGATTATGATTTGCGTGAGGCAAATGAATACAACTGTGTAAAGCAGTTTGGGCTGAAATGGTCTTGAGTCTGTTGCATTACAAATTCGGAAAACTGAATTTACATAGGTATTTTTGCATATGCCACAAACAGTTGCACAGTATTTGCATCAGGTATTGAACAGGATATGTTAAGCTGCCTTCACTGGACACTCTCTGCAGTTGCTTTTGCAATGTTATTTCTAAAATTAAAATTAAACTCGGGCTTGTTGCCCAAGTCGAGGCCAGGCAGTGGAAAACAAATGGGGGAAACTCAGGCAACGAGCACATGAAGAAAATGACAAACGCAAATCTCTTACTTACTCGAATTAGGAACGGCAATGGGTACGCAGCTGGATCTGGAAATGCGCCGGCTAGCAAAAACGAGCCAAAGTGCAGTTGGGGTTCAGATTATGTTGGGGTGTGGCAAAGAGATGGAAATTCGCCTGCACGGCAAAACTCTCGCAGAATGATAGCAGCAGCCGTTTTAATGGCCCGGGCACAAAACGTAACGCTGGTACAGCGACTCTGATGGATTCGGCTACGGAGACGCGGACCCGACCTGCTGTCATCAGGATTAGAATCGAGATTGCGGCAGCTGTTGTCGAATGACAATCGAGCTGCAGGGAATCGCAAATCACGCTGCCAGACGAAATGCACATCCCTATGTGATGCGGTCGCATTAGCATAGCCCCTCAAGTTTGGCACATCTTGATGTGGCTGCAACAGACTAGGCACGGGCTGACTCAGAGCTATCCTTATTTAAAATAGATTCAAAAACATGATATTCAGCAAAAAGCTGTTTCCTTTTTAAAAAGTCAGATATTCAACATGAGACTTGTTTAAGTTGATGTCATCCAATCAAATAGTTTCCAAATACGACTCAGTCTTCGATATTTCATGGATTTATAGCCTCCATAAAGCGTTATAAATTTCATGAGAAAGTTATGCAAAAATATTCTATACAAGTCTGTAAAAACTTAATGCAATTTTATATTTTTTTAACCTGACTAGATATGATAAGGTTATGGGCATTTATAAATAATTGCCAGCAGTTTTGTAGCTTTTTTATAATTTATGGATTACTGCGAATTTATTTCCCGCAATTGTTAAATTCGGATTTATAGCCTGGCCTTTAATACAAATTATTAAGAAAAAACGTGCAGAGTTGAATGAATAAATAATAATAAAATAGATGTGTGAGCCAACGATTTAAGTTAAATATACACATGAATGAGTTTGAAATTCATTTAAAGTGAATTCGCTGATAAAAAGTCAAATCGAGTTCATCTCCAATTACTATAATAAAGTATGATATAAATGTCATTACGTATTTTAGTTAAATGTTGAAAAATTAAAATGCATATTGATTGTTGTATATACATTTTATGTTTGTTAAATATCCTTTATAAGTATGTTTAAGTACTTCGGATGGCATTTGGTTTTCACATTGTATTTAGCTATTCAGCATCGAATAGAAACCTGCACGTTCCATTTCCCTGTGAGTGTGGGTGCGTGTGTACGTGTGTGTGACTAATCCAAATCAGAGATTTAATCAAACCTACACTCACATACACACATACGCAAACATACTCAACTTCATTGTGTCAGCCCTCCTACATAATCTTAAACATAATAATCCTTAACATAATCATTAACATTAACATTAACATTTACATTAACATGATGTGCTTAAATCGTTGCTGTTGTTATTACTGTTGTTATTTATTTTGTTAACACCCCCCAACCCCCATCCATTTGGACACTCAACCCACTTATTGACGAAAATCACGAATTCGATTGAAAATTCCCCGTTTGGTGTGTATTTGGGGGGAAATACTCAATACACAACAATATAAATGCAGTCGACAAGAGAAATGCGAATGATGTTTGCTCGATTGTGAAATTAATGGAACCGGAGCTGGCAGCGGTCGGCGCAGCCTCATTACCTACCATATCGAAGACAATGAAAGTTAAATCCTCAACGGCAATGCCCGTACCCATGCCCACGGCCATGCTGAAGCCGTTGGCATCCCCAACGTCCTGCTCCCCGACATCGGCTGCATCCGCCGCGCTGCTGATGCTAGAGGCGACCACCACAAGCCAACACATAAACTCGAACAGCATTCCTGATGGCAATCGCAATGACGAGTCAAAGTTCATATTTCGTCCAGGTAAGTCGATCCGAGACTCGTACTCTTGCACCCGCACCCGTACTAAAGCCATTCCCCATTCGCCATTCGCCATTTCAATCTTGCATTTTCCTCACTTTTCATCTGCCATTTCCGCTCTGTACTTTTAATTGGAGCACAGCAGACGTCCTATCAGCACTCGCATTAACATTTAACTCGCATGCCCTCCTTACACACTCAATCCCATCCCCTCCTGGCTAGTTGCCACCCGTTCGGAATTTGTCCAAATTGATCCTTGACCTAACCCATTTAACTCGTTTTCAGTTTAAACCGAAAACTTTTCCTGCTCAAGCGCCATTCACACACTGCACACTCTTTAGTTTTGCTCGTTCGTAGTTCTGTGTTTAGAGATTTGGCATGCAAAGTAGTTGGCAGCTGACTGTGCGACATGTCAGCTGAAAGTGTTGGCGGGATGAGTTGGCCTGGGGGCCTCGAGTATGGTAGAACGCCTAGCATATAGATAAATAGTAGCTATGGGAGCCATGGGGCTAACTGCTAATTAACGCGTAGCATCATCGACAACGACACCGTCCCCGCTTTTCCACGGCTTGAGCTTAGCGCGGCACTCAACCCGGCCAGCTGGCTGGCCACACACTCATCTAAAACTTAACGTTCTTTTGCAGAGACGGCCATGAAGCTTCGCGAGGAGAACGAACGTTTAAATGCGGAGCTGCTGCGCCTGCGCCGGCTGCTCGAGCATTCGACGGACGGAGCCGTAGGTGGTGCTGAACCAGGTTCCGCCGACCTGGATGCAGCCCAGCCATCTGCGTCGCAGGAGCGCGTAGAACGGCTGGAAACGGAGCTGCGCAGCGTGAAGAATCAGTTGCTGACCATGCGGCTGGAACGTAAGAAACTCCGCACCGATAAATCCGATCTCTTGGGCCAGGTGAAACAGTTGTGCGCCTCGCTGCAGGAGAAGGAGCAGGAGTTGCGTGACTTTATACGCAACTATCAGGAGCGTGTGCGCGAGACAGAGTCAACCAATGCCAAGATCTCGGGCGATCGTGACCGTGAGCGCTTCCAGCTGCTGAAACAGGCGCGCGATGAGGCCGAGCGCTCACTCGCACTGGCCCAGCAGCTATCGGCGCGCGATCTCCAGCTGCAGCGGCTGCAGGAACAGCTGCTAGAGGCGCGACGCCAGCTGACGGGCTGCCTATCCGACCAGGAGAGCCTGCATTCATTCGCGCCGCTGACGCCACCATCGGCTGCCTCCGGCATGCTCAGCCAGATGGCCGGCGGTTCGGGTCTAGCAGGCAACCTGAGCGGCCTGCGTGGCACAGCCGAGGACAGTGGCCGTGGCAACTCGAACTCATTGTCGGCGTTTAGCGGCAGCCTCAGTGGTGGCTCCGGCGCCACAGTCGGAGATCGCAACTCCTGCTCCAATGACTCGGGCCTACGGAATAGCAGCGATCGCGAGAGCACCGGCGGGGAGCTCAACTTCAGCGACGGCACCTGCGACAACGGGCCCTGCATCACCGTCGATCCGGACAGCATCTCTCTAGTCTCCAGCCAGAACATGTACCAATGTGAGTAGCCAACAGTTTTTCCAGCTCACTTTGTACTAATCTTTTTATCTTGCAGTTGGCACGCCCAAGGAACGCAGTCCTACACTCTCGCCTCTGAACTCGGGCGCCTATTCCAGGTAATTTAACACAAGAAAAAAGTCTTTTAGTATACATGTATAATTGTTGTGAATTTATATTTGTTCCGTTCAGGTCCGTGGAGCAGCTCTCGCCGGATGCCGAGGGACCAGGCGGCGCTGGCGCCATAACTCGCAAGTTTGGTAACAAAAGCGGACCGCTGGGCGCACGAAACGGTCGCGGTGGCACCTGGGGCAGCATCTCGCGTGTCTTTGCACGTTCCCGTAACAAGAGCAAGGCCCTGTCCGCCGATGGGGTGACCGAGTATAGCGACTACTCATGGAATCCACTATCCGAGGAGGGCTATGCCGAAAAGCTGCGACTGCTGCGTGAGGCCTCCCAGCTGCCCATAGAACGCTGGCGAGCCACGCAGGTGCTGGCCTGGCTGGAGGTGGCTCTGGGCATGCCACAATATAGCGCACGCTGTGCGGAGAACGTGAAGAGCGGCAAGGTGCTGCTCGAGCTGAACGACGTTGAGCTCGAGGCCGGCTTGGGTTTGGGCCATCCCATGCATCGCAAGAAGTTGCGCCTGGCTATTGAAGAGCAGCGACGTCCGGAGCTGGTGCGCTATCCATTGATCACACAACTGGGCCACACTTGGGTTGCCACTGAGTGGCTGCCGGACATCGGGCTGCCGCAGTACGCTGAGCCCTTCCTGCAGTCGCTGGTTGATGCCCGCATGCTGGACACCCTGTCCAAGAAGGAGCTGGAAAAGTTTCTCGGTGTGACGCGAAAATTCCATCAGGCCAGCATTGTACATGGTATGCAATTGCAGCAGCAGTCCTTAGCTGGAATATGCCCAACTGACAGCTAACATCTTGGCTTCTCTCCTGCCCTTAGGCATTCACGTGTTGCGCATTGTCAAATATGACCGTCAGACGCTGGCCATGCGACGGGTGCAATCGGAGACTGTCGATACGGATCCCATTGTCTGGACTAACCAACGCTTCATACGCTGGGTGCGCTCCATTGACCTGGGCGAGTACGCGGACAACCTGAAGGGTGAGTTCGTTGTATTCCATAATGGAGCATCCCTCTGCTTGTTCCGTTGCAAGCGAATATCAGTTGCATATTGGATAATGATAATGTGCCATTTAAGCACTTCAGTGTTGAGTTTCAATTGAAATGTTCTGAATTGAACCCTTGTGTCCGGCTCCATTTGCAGATAGCGGCGTCCATGGCGGACTTGTTGTGCTGGAGCCATCCTTTTCGGGCGATACCATGGCAACGGCGCTGGGCATTCCCCCATCAAAGAACATAATACGACGCCATCTTAATACGGAATTTGATGCCCTCATCCTGCCCGCAAGGTGAGTGTCCGTCCCACGTCCGCCTCCATTCACATCCACATGATTAGTGTGTGTGTGTGCGTGTGTCCCTTATGTAACCCTGGTTTCGGTTGTCGATTTCGATACCGAGACAACTCTCTGTCCAATCTGTATACATAATAAGTATGTATGTAGCGTTAAACAGCGTTTTGATTACTGTACCCATTCGATTAGAATTTCTATTGTTTCGTTCACATTTGATTGGGTTCTTCCTACTTTGCATTTTCTCCCATTGTCGGTTACATAATCGTACATGCTTGTAATATGATTTATTTATTGCTATTGTGCTCATTATTTCATTCATTTTGTTTGTCTCATCATTTTTGCATGGTCCACCATAAACATCCCCATCATTCCCATCATCATCATCGTTAATCTTCAATTTTATCAGAGAACTGCTTTTGTCCAATTAGTATAGGAATTTTACCTAGGGCAGAGTATTAGTATTGAATAATTATTTTTAAATATATTTTTGGAAAAGGTTTAGGTTGAAACCAACATTAATTAGATGCTCAGATCCACCTGAGCTTTGTTCCCGTCTGGCCTTAACTATCTGACATTAATGTAGATGTTAATGTTAATGTTGACGTTAATATTAATGTTAATTTTAATGTCAGTGTAAATGTTTTTGTTAATGCTAAGGTTCATGTTAATGTTTGTGCTAAAATAAATGTCAACGTTAATTTAATTCGAATATTGTTCATTTCATAATCGGAGATAGCTAATTATTGAGATTTATCTGTATATAAAGAACATTGCTAGAATTTATGAAATATTAACATTGTATTTCGGATCTACAAGAGATATTACTAATTGTTCTTGATAATTGAAAAGAATACCTGAAAGGGAAGAATTTGTCTCCTATAAAGGAAAGTAGTGTACCATCATTTATTTTATATATTTACATTGTATATGTGTGCTTCTGCTTCTTCTTCATTCTTCATTCACTTCATCCAACAGACACACACACACACACACACACTCATACTCAAGCATTAGAGACGCTTTTCTTGATTTTAAACGGCTTTGCATATATTCTCGTACATATCATCACTTTAAGCTCAGCCTGCGCTCTATCAATCATCCAGTAATCCAGCGTGGAAATAGTCCAGAGACGCGTTTAAGTGTCTTGATTGTTGTTGTAGTTGTTGACTGAAGACAATCCATACTCTCGTCTATAAACTTTGTTCATGCGCCGTCATACGTTTCCATATACTATGTGTAGCTGCACTATCATCTAACTAAGTATATCTGTCTTCTCGTACATCATAAGAGTACCTGTGTGTATGTATTATATGCCTATATATAGATATATATATATATAATTACATACATGCATATGTGGCGTGTTTGTGTGCGTGTTTTAGAGCATGTCTGAAATGCCGTCAAAACGCACTAATTGGCTTGTGCCTTATTTTTCTCTCTCTTTTCTCTTCCAACATCTCTCGCGATATCTACATATTTTCTACTTTGCCCAATGCAGATACATAATATACTGTCAAATGGAAGAATTTCAAATGGAAAACTCCCGGCAATTGGCCAAATTGCAGGGCCATTAAATCAAAAAAACAAAAAAAAAAAACATATATACATATATATAAAATCAAAATTCAAATCGAAATCAAAATCACGTCAAAATTATTCTCATAATGCCAGTGGCAAAAAATGTGTGTATTTGTAATCAACAAGTAACTCGATGGGATTCAACTCGATTCAATATTTAATAATGTATTTAGCTAAGCTGATTGGTAATTCTAGGAAGAGAACAATAATTGGAGCACAGCGCTAATCAAATCAACATAATTAAATACTCACTTAGTATAGCAAAGAAATTGAATATTTATGCATAAGCATCGAAATAACTCGTAGGACTTGTAATCAGACAAAACCACCCCACCCCGATACTCATGACCCAACAGAAAACAAAACAAAAACAAATTAGAGTGAAATCCCAGTAAATCACATATCGAAAATCTGAGGAGCTTTGCATTATCGATATGTCCATATTATACTAAATATAGTTAGTGCGAATCGGGTCGCGAAATCTGTGTACGCTTTGCAGCTTAACAAGTTTACCACTTACATACAAATATATAGTATATATATATATAGTATATGTATATGGTATATAGGTATATTACACAACTGAAATCTTTGCATTTAAGCCGAACAGCACAGCCGCAAAAGTAAAAACGCGACACTATTAAAACTCACGCGAGTCGAATAGAGTTATTAAAGCATAAATAGAATTCTTTGTATCGATGTTATTTGCATTTGCAGTATAAGAGATACGCACAGATATTGGAGACAACATAGATGTGTGTTTAGGTTTAGTGGGCCAGCGTAAATTTGGGTAGCAAATCTTTAAGTAGCGAACGCGATTCGTTTATAGTTTTATATATAAATATGTATTAATCTATAGCCAAAACATATTATGCATAGAACAGATACCAAAAAACAAAAAAAGAAAACACAGCAGACATTAAATGTGTAATAAAGCATTCTTCTAGCAACTATTTATACAGATATATGTGAAAACATAAACTGGGCTCAATTGCCTGTGTAACTAATGTGGACAGCCGTCCACTGTGATACAGATACAGATACAGATACATAAACTGAACATTATACTAACATAAATATAATTGGATTATCTGCAAACAGATTTGCTAGATTTTCCGGTTAAACATACAAACATGCATACTCACATATGTGTACATTGTGCATTCACACCTGAACCACCAATACATATACATACATATATATATATACATACACACATGCATTAGCTTGTTTTCTTCTCAGTGTTGCCTACTTTTGTGCGCCCAAAAAAGCCGCCTACCACATTTCGAAATGATATTTCGACGTAGTTCATATCTGTTAGTTTTCGTTTACTTTAAACACAACCGCATCCAAATCCCAAAACCCAATATCCTAGATATTTATTGCCAAGTCAATGCAATGTCAATTGTAAGTAAAACTCAAGTGATTTTTCGAGTTAAAATTAGCACACTTTGTCTAAGTATGTGTCTATATTTAAGTAGATTTTTTGTTTGTCTACTCGTTGTCTACAAATATGTTTTGATGTGAATGAAGCAATGCTTCCACCAAATTTATTTCATACGGTATACTATACTAGCATTTATGTAAACCTTATCATTTCGGGGCCCCACATCATCTCTCTTATATATAACTTAGCCATAATTTTGTTGTTTACGCTACAAGTAGTCAATTATGCAAAAATAATAACAATACCAATATCGATACACACAAATTTCTCAATATTATTAACCGTTTTTGTCTTTGTCCTGTTTCTTTTCTACTTTCTATATTTTCATATATACTATTTCTTTCAATTTGGTAAAATCCTCAATTCAATTGTATACAAAATCAACGGCTTGTTGTTGCTATCCTTGTGTCTTGATTGTTTACAATAATGCATTATACAACACTACTACCACAACAACAACAACAACGACAACAACAACTGCTACAACAACATCACTTTTGGCATCTGTGCGTGTCTGTGTGTGTGCGTGTGTGCGTGTGCTTGCCTGCCTGCCTGTCTATGCCTCTGCCTCTGCCTCTGTCTCTGCCTGCCCCGTTTTGTGTCTACTATTCATTTGTGCCAAATGCAACAAAATTCTCCACATGCACAAACATATAAACACCCAACCAACACCCACTCCCACACACACACGCCCACGGCCACGTCCACAATCAAACGAACACACACACAAACCTAAACGAAAACAATCCGGTTGTATTGCAATGTTTGTTGTGTAGAGCAACTTTGGGTCAAGGCATCCGTTCCGGTTGCGGCATAGTGCCCCTAACTGGACCCGGCGGACTGCAGCACTATGCCACAACAGATCGGCGATCGAGTGGCAGCTTGCGGGTAAGTCGAACTCCAGCCTAACCATAACCTACATCTATATGTATCTAGCGCTATATTGTCTGCACACACGAAAGTCAATTGGAAAAATTAAATATCTTACGAAAATTGAAAACAAAAATCAGAACGGAAATATAAAACAATGATCAAATTTCTGCCTCTGTATTTATCTTAGCCTGATTTGACGTGAAGCTTTTGTTGTCTCTCTCTCTCTCTCTCTCGCTCTCTATCTCTCACTCTCTCTATATATAAATATATGTGTGTGTCTATGCCTCTATAAATTATAAACTTATCGCTTTCAGTACTTGTGTAGAATGTCAAGGATCATATTAGTTTGTGTTATTTTCCAACTTTTTATTTATCACAAACAAACATACGACAAACAAATGCCCACTTCTCAAAAGTATTTTGAGCACACAGTACAACGATGTTTCGACACTTAGAGTACTTAGTATTAATATAAAACTAAACTAAAATTTCACTTCCGAGTTGAACAACAAATAAGAGAAACTAATATAACTTCTTTTTAAATATATATAGACTTAAAATGTTTGTAAGGATGAACATTTCATTTTCTTGAATAATATTTCTCAGCAATTTCCAATAAATTGGCATATTTATTGAAATTGTATGGATCCGTAAATTCACCAAGTCAAAGCAAACGTAGCATCAGAAATTAAGAGATAATCTACTGATTAATAAGGAATAAGCAAACATATTTTTAGCTCTCTTTTGGTAAAATTATATGAAAACAAGTTTTAAAAAAAATGCATGGAGTGTGATTTGGTTTTATAAAAAATATCTTGAAGGAATGTTTTGCATTAGCTAGTTCAATTATTTAGAATATATTATAACGGTATAACGTGTTTAAGTGTTATAAAACAGTGTATTATTCGTTTTCAGTGTTGCAAAGCGCACATATAGTACTTAAAAGGCGACCATTTAAACACGTTACAACGTTTACATTTAATCATGCATTATATACATCAGTAATAAATGAAGTGCGAAACAAAACAAACGATACATACAGAATAGCCCAAGAGCTATGAATATATAAAATACAAAATATATATAATATACTCGTACACAATGCGTAGTTATTGCAAGTAAGTAACAATTAATGAGCATTTTGTAAAGTGCACTAAATATGAAAATTAATTAAAATAAATATAAACTGTTTAAATTGCGCTCTTTTATTCGACAAAAGAGCCCGTTGGTTTAACTTTTGTCTACTAATTAACCATTTTTAATATATTAAAAAAAAAAAAAATACCCGACACCAGAAGTTTCACGGCAAATCGCAGATAAATGTCAGATGCAACTGGCCAAAGATGTTTGCAATTTTAATAATTGACATTGGTTGGGGGATGGGTTCTGATTGTACTCAGCTGGTTATCAATTATTCAACGAATTCAAAGCTAATGAAAATGATTTTTTTTTGTATATTTTGTCTCTTCTACCTTACAGATTTCGGCATGGAAAGGATCTCAGGTAATGGAAACTATAATAATTCGAATGCAAGTTCTCTTCTGATGGACTTCTTTACCATTTTCAGAGCTCTCTTTCAAAAGCCTTTCGGTTCAACAGCAAACCCCATCGCGCCGGCGATCGCAGCTCCTTCGGAAACTCCACCTCCCCAACGCCATCGTACAGCAGCAGCGAGGGCGGCGGTGGAGGAATATACGCTACCATAGGTCCGCAGCAAATGCAGTCGCATCACCATCATCTTTCCCATCATTTTCTACCGCCGCCCACAACCGCACCGCCACCGCCGCCACCAAGCTCAGGCAGCTCCAATTACGGTCCACCCGGGCATCGTGTGAGTGCCCCACCCGTTGGCAGCATCCTAGATCCCAACGGGCTGGACAGCCACCTGCTCTACGAGCAGAATAGTCGACGGGTGAAGAGCATCAGCGACATTGGGGTGGCAGCCAGCGGCAGCATGGGTGCCTGCAGTCTGGGTGGCATATCCGCATCATCAGACTCACCTGAATGAACATCTGATTGCAGCTAACAGATTCCCTTTATATAATCGCACCCAGCTAATATATCATATAATATATTATTTCTCTATTTCCCTTACGCCTCGTCTGGCATTCCAAAGTGATAAGTTAAGAGTGAAGAAACCAAAGTTTAGCGATAGTATTTTGAAAAGGATGCGATTAGATTCAACTCAACACCCACCTCAAAGAAATTACGTTAAATTCCAATAGCTACATATACATATTTGATTAAATCAGATTGAGGGAAAGTACACAACAGAAAACTTGAATATTTATTGAATATGTGTATGTGAAAACATATTGGATAAGTTCTATGCACGCAATTAAGAGAAAACATTTAATTAATTGAATTAATTAACCACAGAGCATTCGGGCCATTTGCCCGGAAAACAAGCTCCAACTAAAAACAATTTAACTTTATTATAGCCTAATCAAATCGTATGTAATTGTACATTTTTAAAAAAATTAATTTCATTTAATACTCGACCACAATTGCTGTGAGGCGAGTGGGCAATAGATTTAAATGTCAGCGGAGATTGGATTTGAAATAATACCCTTAAACGTAATTGCAATTTAGATAAATTGAAATTATTATTTTGTAAGCGCCCAACACAACTATCGTGTAGCTAAGCAAATGTGAAACCACCCCCAGAATAAATCAATTTTGCAAAAGTGCAGTATTGTGCAAATTGTAAATGGCTATTAATATAGGTCTAGTTAATATAAATATATATATGTATTAATCACATGTGTATGTAATTTTCAACAGAATTATTTGAGACTAACAAATCACAGCTAACGTAATCCGCAATAGTCAAACTGTTAATCTTTTCGAAAATATAACTGAAATATCCTTCCTACCATTACGACAACTGAAACATATATTGTATCAATAATATGAGATGTTTACATTTAAGCAGACCAATTTAATTCTAGATTTACAATAACAAGCCGATAATATAAACGAATAAATTAATGATCAAAAACCTCGATTGTCAAAATATCACACATTATTTTAATAGCTATATCTGCCACGCCCTAGGCGAACACACAATTAAAACCTATGGTTCCTAGATGACCCATATATCCTTGGTTTTACCATACCAAAGATAACGTCCTGGTGAACCTAAATGGCCGAAATGGTCAACAAATATGAATGCCTTTTCTTTCAGCCACATATCTGCCATGCCCCAGGCGAACAGACAATCAAAACCTATGGTTCCTAGATGACCCATATATCCTTGGTTTTACCATACCAAAGATAACGTCCTGGTGAACCTAAATGGCCGAAATGGTCAACATATATGAATGCCTTTTCTTTCAGCCACATATCTGCCATGCCCCAGGCGAACAGACAATCAAAACCTATGGTTCCTAGATGACCCATATATCCTTGGTTTTACCATACCAAAGATAACGTCCTGGTGAACCTAAATGGCCGAAATGGTCAACATATATGAATGCCTTTTCTTTAAGGATATTTTTGCAGCTTGTGGGTATGCAATGCAATTTTTCGTTTTGAAACGATATATCTCCGCCATGATAATGGTTATGTGGGAGATATGTCGTTTCAAAAAGACATAACTCCGCCATGATAATGTTTATGTGGGAGATATGTCGTTTCAAAACGACATATCTCCGCGGAAATTTTCTGTGCATCTACCTGCTAGTCATTTCTGTTCGCCTGGTATTTTTGCAAAATTTCTTGTAAAAATGTTGTTTTTAGAGCGGTGGAGATATGTCGTTTTGAAACGACATATCTCCCACATAACCAATATCATGGCGAAGTTATGTCGGTTTCAAACGTCATATCCATGCTGAATTTTCTGTGCATCTACTTGCTGGTCATTTCTGTTCGCCTGGCATTTTTAGCAGAGGTATGTTACCTAACGGTGACTTAACAGCGAACTGTTAAATAATAGCTGCCTAACAGTGAACTGTTAACGAACTTGCAAGTCATCATTTTTGCACAAATTTTCTATGCATCTACCTGCTGGTCATTTCTGTTCGCCTGATATTTTTGCATAATTTCCAATCAAACCTTTCGCCCCCCTTTTAGCAGTGGTATGTTAACTAACAGTGTAGATACAGCTTTTAAGCGATATTTTGTCAGGATTTGGAACTATAGATTCTCCAGGACTCTATCAATGGTATGGGAAAACCAAGGATATATTTGTCGTCTAGGAACCATGGAGGGAGGAGGGGCTAATGCTGTCGTTTCAAAACGACATATCTCCGCGCGGAATTATGTCGTTTTGAAACGACATATCTCCGCGCGGAATTATGTCGTTTGAAAACGACATATCTCCGCGCGGAATTATGTCGTTTGAAAACGACATATCTCCGATGTTTTGCCAGGATTTGGAACTATAGATTCTTCAGGACTCTATCAATGGTATGAGAAAACCAAGGATATATTTGTCGTCTAGGAACCATGGAGGGAGGAGAGGCTAATGCTGGGGTAATGGGGCTGAAAGAAAACGCATACATTCATGTTTCAGGAAAATTTCCGAGTGAAGTTCGCATGGATTTGAAACTGTACGTTCACCAGGACTATATCAATGATATGGTGAAACCAAGGATATATGGGTCATCTGGGAACCGGTTTTTATTTTTTGTTCGGCCAGGAATGCAACAGATTTGGCTGAAAATACAAATTTGTTGTAGTTCAGAAATTTTGACCGATGCCATCGACTCTGTGAAATACAGATAACGCAATGACAAATTCCTTTAAGTGTATAATCAAATATACAAATGCAAATATATATCAAACATAAAAAACACTCTTTAAAAAATATACGTTCGATTGTAAATTGT